GGATAGCCACGCTTAGACACACACCCTGTGTGAGTCTGTGTGTCGGCAGCACGATCAGTCCTGAACAGCTCTAAAAACATGGCAAGTTGGTAATCGATTCACAGCGGTTAGAAGCAAGGCAGCGAAAAATGAGCACTCGTGTTGTGTGAACTCTTTCTTAGTACTCGTTCTTTTTGCGTCGCTTTTCTTCTACTGGCTATGAGTCATGGAGTCAGGCACTACCCCCCGAGCAGCATTACCTTATACACAGGCCTCGTTGGAGGTCTCAGAAAGTTAGCGCCTTTTCCGAGAAGTGTGGCAGCTTGGGCTAGTTGGTATGGCATGCTCTGTTCGTTCTGTTCTCGCGCTATAACTATCGTCCTGCCTTTTCCGAACTCAAAACAGCATTCCCCTTCCATCTCGCTCCACTGAATGGAAGCAGATTTTCGCAGAAAGAAGAAAACACTGTTGAGCACGGGCCGACCCGTGAGCCCCTGTATCAAAGAAAGCATTTTTCTGCGTGCGAAAAGTGATAAGCTCCGTAGGCAAACGGGTTTCCGTTGCAAATCGCTGCCCAGGAGGAGGACGACCCCAAGCGCGAAGGTTCCGTGACGAATTCCCCGCTTCCAAATTAGGAACGCGGGAGGTCTTTCATTGACACAAGCCCCGGTTGCCGTTTTAGTGAGTCGTTTATGCGTGTCAAGGAGCAATCTTCGGCTTGATGGCTTCAACAAAGAGAAGAAAGCGTAGGTATGAGACGACCCGCTCAACCTCGCTGTGACATGCGTAGCCGGTTTATCCCAAAACAGCGCGCCTGACACGCGAAGCACTCGCAGGTCCTCAAAATCGCGGGCGTTGTCCGCTTCGTCTAGCTCTTTTTTTTTTTTCGGTTTTCCAGAAGTGACTTTTTTTAAACGAGAGACGGGGCTCAAACAGATGAAGCTGCATATTTTACAAAAATAATTTTAAATAAGTTTCAGACCACAGTTGCAAAAGATCTACAGGATTAAACCTTAAAAAAAGCTTGCTAATTACATATAACGTCGCAGCATTTTCTATCATAATACACATTTTCGGCCTTAATTCATCATACGTACGTATCGTTTGATATGTAATATGGCAAAAAATAAGGTGCAAAAGTCAACTTAGAATCCATTATATTTCAACTTAATATGTAATCCACTATCTAAATAATCATTTCTAGGAAAATCCCCCAAAGTGGGTGTGAGCCATGCGTTTAGGGCATCATCACCATCATCATCATCAACTTCTGAGTGCCGTCTGGGCTCTTTTTGTGTCGTTTCGGGGCAGTGAATGGCTACGCTGGATAGCGATGCAATCTCCCTCGGATTTTGACAGCTCTAGTTGCATAACAGCAGCGTGAGAACACCATTGAACGTGCCAAACAACTCGGTACACCTTAATCATTTTCTTCGGGACGTGTCACCCCGCCGCGGTGGTCTAGTGGCTAAGGTACTCAGCTGCTGTCCCGCAGGTTGCGGGATCGAATCCCGGCTGCGGCGGCTGCATTTCCGATGAGGTGGAATTGTTGTAGGCCCGTGTGCTCAGATTTAGTTGCACGTTAAAGAACCCCAGGTGGTCGAAATTTCCGGAGCCCTTCACTACGGCATCTCTCATAATCATATGGTGGTTTTGGGAAGTTAAACCCCATATATCAATCAATCGATTCAGGACGTGTCAATAAAGATTTTGTTACTGTCACTGCTCAGTTGACGTGCTGTCGAGAACATTTATGTTTGTTTTAACCACTTGGCTGCTGAAACTTTACAAAGTTTAGGAATCTATTATAGACAACAGCTCTAAATTTTGTCAACGGAGCATCAAGGTGAGAAATTATGAAATATTCTAAAAACACCACGACTGTGAAATTACACGTGAACACAGGCTCGAGGGTAAAGCACAGGGCGAGAACGCCGCAAACATATCTGCGCTTTGCTCTCATTACCGATCTCTCGCTATATTGTTTGGCATCATAAACGACAACGAAAAAAAACCCCTTCATTTCGCCCGTATTACTTTGTGTCATTAATTATTTCTAACTAGCTCATACCTAAAAAATATCGAAGCGAACCAATCATAGCCGCTAATCAATGCCGATGTTGAAAATATTAGCTGGTTGACGCTTGCCGAGGACCATTACTTCTGTTTTATAGGCTGATGTTATCGAGGAAAAACAAAATTTGGCGGTACAGTTTTTAAAAGGTTTCGGTGGAGCTTTAGCCTCATAGGTAAGGAAAGATTCCCGCCGTAAATTTTGATGTTACGTTAAAGACTTAGCTAGTTCAGTCGATCGGTGTCACGGGCGTATTTTTTTTTTATCGAGTTGCCGGCTGATCGCACGTATGCAGATTTTTTTTTTTTTCGGGGCTAAATGTATACAACGGCTAAATGTATACCAACTGGTGGTAATTGTGAAGGCGTGTAAAAAACTTGGGCATCAACGGAAAAGTTAAAACATGAACGAATTTCGGGATGGTCAGAACCAGCTCAAAACGCCCCTAGCTACGGCTCTGGCACAAAGGTTGTTTTTATACCTTCATTCTGTGTTCAGGACAATTGATACGCTCCATTTTGGGTTCATGAAGCATCAAATTTATATATGCTTATTTTTTTAAATAATAAGTGAAAATTGAGAACAGTAACTCCGTGATGATTTTGCTCTTGATTGCGACTAGAACGTACGCACAAGGTTGAGGGCTACATATAGCCAAAAATAAAATTTCAGGCTAAAATCGCTTAAATACGGTTGTAAGTCTGAATCAATACGGCGCAATATTACTAGAGCACTAAACTTTTGCTCGCTGCACATATGTTAATGTCTTCATCAGCAAAAGCTCAACTACAATACTGTACATATATTCTTAGACATACAATCTCTTTTAATACACCACAGTTTACCACTTCTTCAGCTGTATAGAATATATTGAGTTGGTGTTTTGCTATTGAATCTGTGTTGATCACTCGTTTTCCCTTTCTCATTCCGGTCTGCCATGGGCCTGCAGAGCTTGAATATAGCACATTCAACTCCGTTTACCGCTGTCCACGGTGCTAATAGAACATTATGGGTGCCTAGTCATTTGTTACATCATTTTTCTCTGCGAGCTGAAAATCCCGCCACTGTTCGATTTTTCATATCGTTCAGCCCCTTTTGAATCTTGAAACACATTATCCCAACCCACCCGTATACTTCATAAAAACGCCCGACCCAGGTGCCTGTGCATTTTCCCGCTTGGAGTTTCCCAGGTATTCAGTTGGGCCCCACGTGTCCACTCACTTTTACGATTAAACTCGATTTGGTGCAGTTCGCGCTATACAGTGAACATTGCTGTAAGGTTGAAGTTGCATGGGCTCGGACAAGAACATTTCTTGCCGGGTATACTTATGAACGCAAGCGAACTATTTGTAATATCATTGTTGACTTAAACACACGAGATAACTGTTTCGTTACTTCTCACACATTGATCCTCTTGCGTAACAAAGATACGTTCAATGAATATAGTTTGGTGTTTTCTGACAAGCGGCCCAGATACAAGCTGTCGAGGTACAGATATTCATTGTGGCGGCTTTCGTGCTCTCCGCTGTGTATACGATAAAGCACGCAGGAAGCAAAAATATGTAGCTAGTACTGTAATAATCAAAGATTCCACAGCGCTGGTTGGAATCATAATACGCAAAGTAACATTCCTAGTGCATAAAATCTGTATTTAGATGAATGCACTATCGTTACTGGCGTATACAAGCTCGTCGCTACGTGAAAACACCGCCTTGTCGTGCCAGCGTCTTCTCTTTGCAGTGTATACTCTTCACCGGTCAGTTTTAATGTTACGCGGACTGTCCAGGTGGTGCTGATCATTTTGTAGCTGCATTTTTTAATGTTTGTAGCGCACTGCCTTATTCCAGTAGTTTTACATCCTACGTAGTGTAAATGGCGTCAGTGCCTGTACTACCCGCACCCATTTTCACGTTCTGGTCAGTAGGACTATAGCCGAGACGTCATCCTCTTTGGCGTCTCATATCCTATCGCCGTGGAAATGATATCGGTGTTCTCGAACAAACTATATGCCCCCAAAGTTGGAGCTTTTCCGTTAGAAACAAAGCAAAAGTACATTGGAACATAAACAACGAACACTTTTTATTTTTTGGTCACAGGCGGCCTCCCGTTCTGTTTGGTGTGCCCATTTGCATTTGGCCCGCAGAGGTGGACGGGACCGAGTGAGACAGTAAGGAATGTCAGAATAAACAGAAAAGGCACGACTCATGGCGGCTAGTTGCTCTTATCAGTCGATACCTGTCTCTCCTTTTTGTGTTGGGCGGTCGTATATAGTCACCCCATTCCTCTGCAGAAGCCGAGTAATGGACTTTGAGCTTATCACTACGACCACCCCGTTTGTTCTTTCCCTCCTAACCTTCTCAAAGCTCCAGCTTTCCTTCACAATGGCTTTACAGGGCGACATTCTTAAGAGCCCAAGAAAGAGTGAGGGGGAGAGAGTCCCAGTGACGTCATCAGCTCGCTAGTCACCTGACAGCAACCAACCCAGGCTTCCCGGTCTTCCCTTCGACTCCCGAACGCCGCACGACAACACAGAACAAGGCTACGTATCACTGACGTCATTCCTCTTCTGACCACGGGATCGTCGCGCGTCCATCTCTCTCGCCCAATTTTAACCATTCAGTGGTGTTCTACCAGTTTTCTTTTTTTCCCACAAAATGGGTGGAGCTTTACTTCGCGCTGCATTTATAGACGGCACACCGTGCGCTCAAGTCAGTCGGTTCGCGCTGCGTGGTGCTGTGGCAGGTACGTCGTCGGGCTCGAAGTAGGCCAGGTAAGTCGCTCCTTCCGTGTACGTTTTCTGCAATATAGTAGCTGATACGTCGTATATAAGCTCTTGTCTTGCCTTCTTCTACTGCACCGAGGAATTTCTTGTGTGTGCATACTGACGAACGTTTACAAAAATCTCTGCTGTTGGCACTGAAACGAAGTTTTTCTCTTTGTGTTGCAGTCTGTAGACATGAAGATCGCTTTCCTGTTCGTGCTCGCCCTGGAAGCGGCGTGCTTGGTTCAGGGCCAGATGAACCCACTGGGCTCTGGATTGCAGCGTATGCTGGTAGGGCTATTTGGCGCTCGCGGAGGTGGCCGCTACGGCAACCCGAACGCCGCCTACGTTCAGCAAGGTGCCATACCACACGGAAACCCGTCAATGGGCCACGCTGGTTATAGAACGCCGATGTGAGTACACCGTCAGCCTTACTATACACCCCCCGATGGGCAAACGTCTTTCCCGTGCTGTATAGTTGAGGCCACGTTATTCTCGCTAATTTTTGAATGTCACCTTGAACACAAAACCGGCTGTCTGAGTTGTCGATACTTGTAGGTACGTTGAATATCATGTAGCCACCTAACATTCTATCTACTCCCCGTATGGAAGCCTCGTACGAAGACGTCTTTATCAGTTTTTTTTTGTTGCGGCATGAATAAGCGCCAGTATGACGGTGAGCTCCTTCGCAACATATTCTTCCGAATCGGTAGTACTTTCATTTATGAATCACGGTCATTACGACAGGCTGACGTGTGTTTTCTCGTACAGGGCCTGGGTTGATATATTACCTATAGTTATTTAGAATATTTACTGTAAGCTCTGCAGCCCATCGTTGTCCTTCTGTAGATTTTTTTGCACGAGTATGCTGCCTTGTCATTAATTGTCCTTCGTATGTGTACTATTGTGCAGACTCTTGAGTTTCGCGGCCGATTGTGCATTCCTTTGCTATAGACTAAATGTGCATAATTACTTTAACCCCTGTACCTTAATTAAGCTTGTTTGTAATGCAGTGATGAAGTAAAAACGTGGCGGTCGTTTAGCGCTAAGTGAGAGTGATTGATTGCTATGTGGGGTATAATGTCCCAAAACCACCATATGATTATGAGAGACGCCGTATAGTGGAAAGCTCCGGAACGTGGTAAGTGAGTTAGGTTCGCAGTGGTCACCTTGATAGCCAACAGTAGCCCATGCACCGTATCCAAGTTTCATGTAAACACTTGGTTGCCCTCTCCCAATGTTCTTTTTTTATTTCGCCCTTATATAAAGCATTAATAATCACGATCACGCCTTTGCTTGTAATTCATACAGGAATGGCAATGTGAGGCCCCGGCCCATGTTCAACAACGGCATGCTCCCCTTCTTGGGGGCCGGTTCATTGTTCAGGCCCCTGCAGTCTCGTCGCTGGCGACGACAGGCCTCTTACCCCGAAGACCTCGTGTCTCGGGGCTTCTACTTTGTGCGACGTCAGGACAACGACCGGTGCGTCATGCGCGCCAGCTGTGAAGCAGCCGCAAGCCCCGGAGAGTTCGGCAGCGAGGGAGAATTCGCTGTGCAGTTCATTCTGTGAGTACTCGATTCAGTACAACCCCCCGAATCGGCATGATTAGTTGGCTAAGATACGCTCATAGCTAAAGTGTAGTCTTGAAAGCTACGCCAGTTGTACAGGTGTCTCGGGAAACAACCTCCCCCCTCACCCTTTCTTTGTTTTATGCGCTACGGTGTCCTAATTAACACGTTTTTCAGCATAATGCTAAATAGGTAAACGTTCAGGGGAAGATTAAATCTTTAAGGGATGAATTAGTGAACACGGGCTGTCACCGGACTTGTAAATGAACAACAAAATAGTGAGCTATGTTCTAAAAACATTTGTAAGTTGGCTTTCCCGCCGCAGTGTTTCCCAACGAGAACTCTCATACAAAAAACTGCTTTTCTAGCTCCAAGCACATTGATACTTCCACGTTATAGTGAGGGTGTGAGAGCACCACAAAGGCTTTTCGAAGTAGACTGCAGGAATGTCGCGCCACCCCTCCTCCGTGAAACAAGAGACCTGGAGGACAGTGATAAAGGCAAGCAGGGTTTATGCGGTTTCAAGGCCTTGAAGGGCTGGAGTATTTGCAAATCCTCCTGAATACATTTTCCAGAATACCTGTGATGCCGTAAATGTAGCAGGCGGCATACGTAATGTGCCCATTACAAAAGAATTGAGAACATCAGCAGCTTCTGCACGGAAACAACACTGTGTAATTTGTGGAAACACGGGAAAGGCAAGAGGGTGAGAAAAAAAAGAAATGTTGCGTTGAGGAGGAGGTTAAAATGCTTACAAAAAAGAAACTAGAAGCCGCTATTACTTAATGAACAGCTACAGTATATAGACTAATGAAAAAAAAAAGCAGAGACGATTAGCGACCTGACTGACGTGCATCAAACAGCCTTAGGAATACTGCCAAGCTTAAGCAGCAGGAGAAAGTGGATACTGATATGAAAATTCATAAAAAGCAACAAGGCGCTGCGTAATCACTTTTTCTTAGTTTCTCACATTTGATCAAACGTTTGAAACTCGTCTCATAATGAAATGATTATCTGTGCAGCTTTAAGAATTTATGATTCAAAGTTGTGTATAGAAAACGTCATTGGAGCCGTGTTTTTGACGGCTGCTCCAGTGATGTTATCCTTTTTAGACGACATTTATGTATTTCAGGCCTCCTTCCTTTCCTGCACTTGTGTTAGTTGGCTTTTTTACAATGTGGTCTTTGAAAGTTCGCACACAAAGTCTTGAAAGTCCTTGAAAATCCTTAAAGTTGTGCCATGTAAACGAGCATTAATCCTGGTCAGGGGTTGAGGTTGAATGTAAGAAATAGTTTGCCGCTGAGTCTGCGGTCGAGACTACCTGGTTGAAAACAAACTTTCCCGTGCATGTGCAGTAACTATCTTGCAAAACCTTTCTAGCCACTACTGTCCCATAATGGTGTCTCTTCAAACTAGATGAAAGGCAATAGAAGTGGAAGAAGATATCATACACTGATATATAGCAGGCGGAAAACCATGAAAAATTACGGTCAATGAGTGTGTACATGAAAAAAAAAAGTTAACTTGAAACAGAAACAATCAGAAATTGGATTACCCGGTCATTGTAGCCAAATGAAGCGGGAGTTAGACATAGTGGGTGACAGTAATAAGGCGTGCTACGTGAACCCTCGACGTTATGACGTACGTCTCCCTATCTGCAATTCAGTCGTGCTGGCATCCCTCGATTTCCCATGTGTAGCCAGAATGTTCCGCAAGACAGAGCGCAATTTAAGTTTATAGCATGGCCAGGCGTGTGTTTTCTTCGCCCAGTGGTGGGTGACATCCAAGTCCAGCAAATTAATTGCCCCGGGAGCCAATTCCGAATTTATAGATGCGAGTTTAAAAGTGTACTCGTTTCTTGATAACTCGGTCTGTTTGCATTATACCGCATCTCGCATAACAAGCTCGCTCATTGTGACGTCACTGCGTGCAGGTCTCTACGTCACGACGGAGACGCCTCGTGGCAGCCGTACCTGCTGTCAGCTCGTGTGGGCAAGGCGCACGGAAGCTTGCAGCTGTGTCGGCGTATCTTCCGTGGCTGCCTGCTCCCCAAGGAACAGCTGAGACGCACGTCACGTGACCGACTGATCAAAGCTCTCCGCTGCCTGAGCAGCCAAGGGTGCTAGCAGTCTGCGAAAAAGCCTGCTCCCCCCCCCCCTCCCACCAGTGATGTCCCACATGCCAGGGACTGCAGGACTGTGGGAAGGACGTTTAGCGTTACGTGGTAACCTTCAAAGAGGTGCCCGTTTGTAATTCCTGCCGTCCTGAGCAACCCACTTTCCTCATCATATGTATTTCGTGCACTGTATGCGCTGTAAAATAGACATTTGCCTTAAGCAACGCTGTAACTGGGACTTCTTATTCATCGCGTTACGACACTTGTTACGTGTGACGGCGTTGAAAGAAGATGGCTCTGCAAGATCGGTGTTTTCTCTGTACCCAACCAAAAATAATCCCAGAGCACCATGCATCCGTCAATTTGGGCACCTGCAATGACGCAACCTGCAGCGAGTGTGCGCAGCTGGATGTTTTATGTTGTAAAGTAGTCATTATAGTCCTACGGACTGACAGCAAGTGGTATACCCGGTACTTGGGCTCGTTTAGTTGAGTATCGTCGTCTAGTGATCTGCGCCGTGGTGGTTATCACCAATGAGGCGGATTCGTGCATGGCACTGTGCTCCGACGCTCAGTTTACAGTTTCTTATGTTTTTATGTCATGATGTAGCAACTGTATAAAGTATGATTGTAAGATATTATGCATGTTTACGTTCCGTGGTCGTCCTTCAATAAAGTTTCCGTGTCTCTGTACCATCCTTGTGACACTGTGCTAATTAGTTGCAATAGAAGGCAGCTATTGTGTTCAAGCGCTCATCGACCCGTCTACCACTTCAGATATTCAAGAGATAGCGAAATCAACAACTCATAAGCACGTAAAAGAAACATAAAGTATACTTTTGCACCATTATAACGCGTGGTTCAAAGGAACTGCGTTACATTTAGAATAGCGATCAACTTCTCGCTACAAGAAGACGCAAGATTATAATGTAATATCACATTTCACATCGGAGAAACTGCCAGAAATCAAGCAGCAAAGCACTGAAGTGGAACGTTTCCCGATACCGCAACCATTATATGTGCCTTTGACTAAGCCTATGTTCACTTACGATAGGACGTTTGACAAATTGGTATTGCATTATTAGGGAAACCGCAAAAAACAAACAAACATAAATGCTTTCAATGTATATAACGTCACATTAAGAGACGGCCTATCGGAAGAGTGTAAGGAAGTGGTATACTTTGTTTCTTTCTCTTGTTATGGTGGGCGCACTGGCCGCTGTCTCAATGAGAGGTTGAATGACCACATATTGAAAGTGCTGCCGCTACAACACCCTGGTTTTAAGTGTGGCTTGGTTTTCCGGGGTACCGAAGTTTTTGCATGACACAAAGAACGTACGACGCATGAGACTGTTGAAACTTATTCGATCTTTAGATCAGGAGATTGCTGTGTCGCCAAGCCTTCTGTAGCGTTACACAAAAAGATCGGGTATTCGGATGCGCGCATTTAGTTTCTTTGTGCTGTTTCATCAAACACGGGGTTTGATTGTCGCGCATACTAAACAAGCTTCAAAGTAAAAAAAAAAAAAACTCAGTACGCACTTGTGTTCGTTTCTCCCTCTGTCCACGTTCTCTCGCGAAGTTTCCCTCATGACCAAGTTTACTATTCTTACTAAAGGTTATCCAGCTAGCCCATAAAGCAGCTGTATTGCGCTTGTTGGGTACAGCATATCCGTCACCAGACCATTAGGGAAATCTTGCTGGATTTACTCCATATTCTTGAACGTCCCCTCAATATAGGCGCTCCACCTTGACTCGAGAATGTCAATGTCAGATACACCTTCTGGCGGTAAGGTTCGCTGCGTATGAGAGATCACCGGCGTCATTCCGTGAGAACCGCTGAGTCATTTCCAGTGGAGTGGTGGCGCTGTGCTCTACTTGGTCAAGTCAAGGGTGGAATTCGAGTCAATGCTTGTTTCATAATAAGGAAGTTAATGTTATCTTAGAGCAATCTAATATGCATGACCGGCCATGATTGGAGTCATGATACAAAATAATATATAGTGCGCACTGGTGCCCTCTGGACTTTATTGTGAACGAGGTCTGTTGAAGTGAGCAAATCCGTAGATCTGGACAAATATCGCGGTGACGTTAAAGCTTATGGAGAAAAAAAATTAGACACTTGAATGGAACACGAACATAAGCCTGCCCTATTACGGAATGCAAAGTAAGCCTTTCAGGATACTGAACTGGCATCAGCCATAGTTCAAGGTCGGCCTGACGTCTTGAGACATCTCTTCGTCGGGGGTTTGACCAGCATGGACACTGATCTCTTGATACAAATCCTCTGTACATTTCCCTTCCATCTCATTTTGACCCCGTAATTTTTTTCTTATTCCCATCACCTTATTATAGGGTGAATAAAGTCGTGCTCACTGGGCTTCGGGCCACGTCGGCTCCTACACCGGCTTTCAACTCAGTGAGGAAGAGGGCTGCATGAGCTTACCACTGGTTTCTACGTGGTCGTACTGCTCTATCTCAGTGATGCAAGTTGACGCGTAAAATCCTATGTTAACATGTCAATGGTTGTAATCGGAACGCTTCCATCTGCTATTGCAAGCTGGCCCTCGCGATATTGGCATGACCTGCCATGACCACTAGATACGTGATAATAGAATATTCCACAAGAATTTTGTACACATCGATCTCGTATGACACACGTCTGATAGACATGCGCACACCCAGTATATATCACAGTAAAATAAAACATGGCTGATCCTTCTTTTTAGAAATCGGTATAACACGAAAGTAAAACGAGTCTTCACAGAGGTAGATGATCATTCATTGCGGATCGTTTCGCCAAACAGAAAGACACACGAAACGAACGCACAGGTATACACAGGAGGAGCGCGAACAACCGTCACAACCCTTACTTCTTCATGTGTGAGCAGCCTGCTCCTTTCGTAAACGTGGCTGCGGCAGCGAGCTAAGTGACATTAGTGTTTTCTTTAATAACTAGGAACTTCAAAGCGGACTTGAGGTATGAGCAAAAGTGTACACAGAGTCCGAATCTCGAGATAAACGCGCGCGCAAATGAGCCACCACGCCAGATAGCATCTATAAACGTCAGACTATGCCAAGGCGATGCTGCAAAAAAAAAAAAAAAACGCCGCCATCAGCGCCTTCATCGACGCTCCAGCCATAAATGGGTAGTGCAAAGCGAGCCGTCCGCAAGAGAACGTGCATATAGGCCCTCCTCTTTCGTTGGCCTTGAGGCGCGGTTTCCTGAAAATCAAGGACCTGGCAAGCTTCTTTCTTCAATCCAACCTCGCTTCAGAAAAGTAGGTAGCTCACCAAAACAAACTGTGGGTACAATGCGAAAGTTGTTTCAGTTAATTCATCATCATCATAATAATCATCATCAGCCTGACTACGTCCACTGCAGGACAAAGGCCTCTCCCATGTTCCGCCAGTTAACCCGGTCCTGTGCTCGCTGCTGCCAATTTATACCCGCAAACTTCTTAATCTCGTCTGCCCACCTAACCTTCTGTCTCCCCCTAACCCGCTTGCCTTCTCTGGGAATCCAGTTAGTTACCCTTAATGACCAGCGGTTATCCTGTCTATGCGCTACATGCCCGGCCCATGTCCATTTCCTCTTCTTGATTTCAACTATAATATCCTTAACCCCCGTTTGTTCCCTAATCCACTCTGCTCTCTTCTTGTCTCTTAAGGTTACACCTACCATTTTTCTTTCCATTGCTCGCTGCGTCGTCCTCAATTTAAGCTGAACCATCTTTGTAAGTCTCCATGTTTCTGCTCCGTAGCTAAGTACCGGCAAGATGCAGCTGTTATATACCTTCCTCTTGAGGGATAAGGGCAATCTACCTGTCATAGCTTAAGAGTGCTTGCCAAATTATGACAGGTAGATTCGGCGTACTGCAACTGGCCCTTGCAAGTGAGCATCGCATGACATCGAGTTACAGGCAAGCACTCCGACGTTCGTTCTGTAACGCCTAAATGCGTTAAACTTGGGAATACACATAATGCCAAAGCGATGAAGTGCATACTCGAGCAATCTGTCTTACGATCAGTGGTACGAAGTTCACTTTCTTCGGCACAAATAGCCCAGGCGATTTTCGCCATCGCAGTTGCATTCTCCATCGATCACTCGCTTCCAGTGCGTTGAACTGTTTTATTACACACGCTAGAATGTTCTGTTGACGGTTGTCATCCGTTTTTATATACTGCGAACGGGCATACATGCGTGCCCACTTTCTCCGTGTACAATAAAATGTATATAACATGAGGCCTCTGAGATTGCTCCGGCAATCGCGGAGACCAACGGCAAAAAAAAAAAAAAAACTATTGTGGTCTTGATCATTTTGCGATTTACCTGTATTACGTGTATGTTCGCATTTCCTAGATAAAGGTGGAACTTAGAGCCTTGAAAGACCTCAGGCGTAAAGCCGTGAAGCTTCTGGTTATCGGTATATTCGCGCCGTGTGCGATCTTTATCGTGTGTGTCACCTGTCTACTGCTTTACGGTGCGCACCGCGGTCTGAGGCTCTGTTAAGCTTCACAATGAAAATTTCTACGGTTCCCTTTGATATTAAATTTACTAAAAAAACAAGGAGACCTACATTGTCACACTTTCTCGCACGAAAGGTTGTGGACAACGCGAGTGATTCGCTTACCCAATACAACAGCCCATGTCCAGTGCTCTCGCCGTTCTGCTTCGCGAAAGCTGCGGAAAACAGTAAAACGAATTTCTTAACGTACGTAACAATTCACAACGCAACTGTAGCGTCGGCCGGGGTCATTTTTCGTAGAGCACGCAGCTGTTGCGTCTGCTCTTGTTTTCACCGTCGTTCTGGCGAGTGAACCAGCAAGCACTTCGCCGCGGTTCGGTGACCCGTTTGACTAGCGGAGAAAAGTTTGTAGCTCTTTTTCTAAGAGATAAATGCTCAAATACACCTAATAATTAGCTCAATCGCTGTTTTTTACGCTGAGGTTGCACCTGGTTGCGCAGCAAACTGTGCAAGGGAGTCGGGCTTTGCACTACTCAAAACTGCGTCGACAGGTGGCGCTGCGTGTCCGCAAACTTTCACGCACGCATAGCAACGCGTGGGCTGGTGCGGGGCAACGAACTTTTGAGCGAGTGCACCCGACACATGCTTCTCGCGCCATCTCGGTACAGAGACAAAAAAGCGCTGTAGTTTCTGAGCTCCGAGGACCGCAACGGTACATGGTGTACATAAATAGCTTGCCGTTAGCATCCTTGACAGACAACGCTCCATGCCCTATGGATAGCTCCCCGCGCTGCCGATTGAAAGCTTGCCGATTCGATGCCCCACAAGAGAAGTACTTCTGCTCGCTTTTTTTTTTTTTGCAATCTTTAAGGGTTTATTTTACAACGTCATATCCACGAAGGAAGTATGTCAGCGGAGCCATGGTGGACCCCGGCATAAAACGCTCTCGTGTTAAAGAAAAAAAACTGCGTTGCTCGAGCGGGTGGTTGCTCAACACTATGATAACGCGAAGGCCCTGTGTGTATATAGTGGGGAACATCCCTAACGCGGGGTGAATACGTTGCGTGTTCTGAATGTACCGATATTAAGGACCCTACCTATCTTCAATGTGTTCGGTGATGGCACGGTCACAGTACGTGCCACGTGGTCCCGATTATCAGAGGCTGTCAGAATCGGTGTGGCGTCCTAAGCGCTCCACATCTATGCAGCGAAGTCAAGTTCTAAA